CCTCGGTGGTCGAGAACGCCCTCAACCGTGTCTCCCACATCTCCCGCACCTCATCCCTCACACCCCGTCCACGCAATAAGAACCAAAAAAGAATCCCCCTCGTCCTCACGTACCACCCCACCAACCTCCGGATCCAACGCATCATCCTCCGACACTTCCGCCATCTGCAATCCGACCCCACCACCAAAGACATCTTTCCCTCCCCACCCTTATCTGCTTTCCGGAGGGACAACTCTCTCTGTGACTCCGTTGTCCGCTCCACACTCCCCTCCAGCTCCACCACACCCGGCACTTCTCCCTGCAACCGCAGGAAGTGCTACACCTGCCCCCATACCTCCTCCCTCACCCCCATCCCAGGCCCCAAGAAGACTTTCCACATCAAGCAGATGTTCACCTGCACATCTGCCAATGTGGTATACTGCACCCGCTGTACCCGGTGTGGCCTCCTCTACATCAGGGAAACCAAGCGGAGGCTTGGGGACCGCTTTGCAGAACACCTACGCTCGGTTCGCAATAAACAACTGCACCTCCCAGTCGCGAACCATTTCAACTCCCCCTCCCATTCCTCAGACGACATGTCCATCCTGGGCCTCCTGCAGTGCCACAACGATGCCACCCGAAGGTTGCAGGAACAGCACCTCATATTTCGCTTGGGAACCCTGCAGCCCAATGGTATCAATGTGGACTTCACAAGCTTCAAAATCTCCCCTCCCCCTACCGCATCCCAAGACCAGTCCAGCTTGTCCCCGCCTCCCTAACCTGTTCTTCCTCCCACCTATCCCCTCCTCCCACCTCAAGCCCCACCCCCATCTCCTACCTACTAACCTCATCCCGCCCCCTTGACCTGTCCGTCCTCCCTGGACTGACCAATCTCCTCCCTAACTCCCCACCTACACTCACCTTTACTGGCTCCATCCCCGCCTCTTCGACCTGTCTGTCTCCTCTCCACCTATCCTCTCCTCTATCCATCTTCTATCCGCCTCCCCCCTCTCCCTATTTATTTCAGAACCCCCTTCCCCTCCCCCATTTCTGAAGAAGGGTCTAGGCCTGAAACGTCAGCCTTCCTGCTCCTCTGATGCTGCTTGGCCTGCTGTGTTCATCCAGCTCTACACCTTGTTATCTCGGATTCTCCAGCATCTGCAGTTCCTGCTATCTCTGTGGCATCAAGGAGCCCTGGCAAAACAGGAATCAGCGGGTATCAAGTTTCCTTCAGTGTGGCTGGGTCAAAATCCTGGAATTCCCTCCCTGAGGGGCATTGTGGGTCTACCTTACAGCACATGGGCTGCAGCGGGTCAAGAAGGCAGCTCACCCCCACCTTCTCAAGGGGGGGCAACTAGGGATGGGACAATAAATGCTTGTCCCCGACAGCGATACCCTGTCCCATGAATTATAAAAATCAATGTGGCCCAAGGGCTCCAAACCTGTACAGGTGAGGAGGTCAAAGGTCACAGCTCCTTGAAAATGGAGTCACAGGTAGACAGGGCGGTGAAGAAGGTGTTTGGTACGCTTGCCTTTATTGGTCAGTGCATTGAGTATAGGAGTTGGTAGGGCCATGTTGGGGCTGTACAGGACGTTGGTTAGGGCCACTTTCGGAACACTGCATGAAATTCTGGTCTCCCTGCAACAGGAAGGATGTTATTAAACTGGAAAGCAATACAGATTTACAAGGATGTTGCTGGGGTTGGAGGGTTTGAGCTACAGGGAGAGGCTGGGGCTATTTTCCCTGGAGCGTCGGAGGCTGAGGGGTGACCTTATAGAGGTTTATAAAATCATGAGGGGCATGGATAGTGCGAATAGACAAGATCTTTTCCCCAGGGTAGGGGAGTCCAAAACTAGAGGGGTTTAAGGTGAGAGGGAGAAAGATTTAAGGGGCAACTTTTTCACACAGAGGGTGGTGCGTGTATGGAATGAACTGCCAGAGGAAGTGGTGGAGGCTGGTACAATTACAACATTTAAAAGGCACCTGGATGGGGACATGGATAGGAAAGGTTTAGAGGGATATGGGACAAATGGTGGCAAATGGGACCGGATTAGTTTAGGGTAACTAGTCAGCACGGATAAGTTGGATGGAAGAGTGTGTTTCTGTGCTAACGACATAGAGTCAGTGAGTCAAAGCTCAGCAACTAGAATTCCTTGACGTAATCGATCAAACTCGAGATTGCCAGCTGGGAGACATTTCAGAAACCACAAAAATGGTTTCACTTTTTATTCTGCCTTTGTATTGACATATGTTTCTGAACCAACCCATAGAGCAGCTGTCCAAAAAAATCTACCAAGCCGGTCACCGAGATAGTGTGAGGGTCACTGAGTACAAACAAGAAAGGGACAGACAGTGCAGAGAGGCTGCGAGATAACGAGAGAGAGATAGTGAGAGAGAAAGAGAGAGAGAGAGAGGCCGGGGTGGGGAGAGACACAGGGGAATAGGTTGGAAGGGACAGAGAAAGGAGGAGGGGAAAGGCAGAATGAGAGGAGAGGAGCAAAAAGGGTGAGAGAGAGAGAGAGAATGGGAGGAAAGGAGGGAGAGAAGGGAGTGTGAGAGAGGGAGAGGGGTGAGAGAGAGAGAGAGAGAGATAGGAGTGTGTGACAGAAGCAGAGAGAGAGAGATGGGACTGTGTGATAGAGGGAGATAGAAAGAGAGAGATGGGAGTGTGTGATAGAGGCAGGTAGCGAGAGAGAGATGTGGGAGTGTGGGATAGAGACAGATAGAGAGAGAGAGAGATAGAGGGACAGAGAGAGATGAGACAGAGAGAGGGGAAGGGAAAGAGAGGTGGATGGTCTGAGAAATGTTTTAGTGAGGGAATGAGGAGAGCAGGAGAGAGAGCGAGATGGGGTTAAATAGAGAAATGGAGGACTGAGAGGGTGGGGGGTGGAGGTGAGGGAGAGAGAACAGATGAAAGAGGGTGTGAGAGAGAGCAGAGTGAGGTGGGTTCGGGGGAGAGGGAATATACAAGAGTGAACTTAGAGAGACAAAGTGGGGGAGAGAGAAAGAGACAGTGTGGGGGAGAGAGAGATTAGGATTGAAGGAGAGGGAGGGAGTGCGAGTGGTTGAGAGAAGGAGAGTAACGTTGAGAGTGGAAAGACAGTTAGAGAGGTGTGGGGTGGGGGCGAGGTAAGAGAGGATAGTTTGGAGCACAGAGAAGTGCAGAGGTGAAGCGAAAAGGCAGGGAGCAGGAAAGAGGGGAGGAGGTATAAAGAAAGGGTAAGAGTGGAATATAGAGAGGCAGATGGGAGGGAGAGAGAGATAGATAGAGTCATGAAAAGAGAGAGCGAGAGTGTGCAAGTGTTGTGAACTGCAAACCCCTTCCTTTAACCACACCAATAATACTGTCTCAGAACCTCTACCCTGTACCTCCCCCTCAATCCGTCAGAAGGACGCTTTGTTAAAAATAAAATTGATTTGTTCAACCTTTCCTGAACCTCCCACCACCATCTCTGTGTCTCCCTGCTATAGGAAGGATGTTGTGAAACATGAAAAGATTTCCGAGGATGTTGCCAGGGCTATTTTCCCTGGAGTGTCAGAGGCTGAGGGGTGACCTTATAGAGGTTTGTAAAATCATGAGGGGCATGGATAGGGTGAATAGACAAGATCTTTTCCCCCAGGGTAGGGGAGTCCAAAGCTAGAGGGGCATAGGTTTAAGGTGAGAGGGAAAGATTTAAAAGGGACGTGAGGGGCATGTTTTTCACACAGAGGGTGGTGCGTGTATGGAATGAGCTGCCAGAGGAAGTGGTGGAGGCTGGTACAATTACAACATTTAAAAGGCATCTGGATGGGTACACGGATAGGAAGGGTTTAGAGGGATATGGGCCAAATGCTGGCAAATGGGACCAGATTAGTTTAGGATAACTGGTCGGCACGGATAAGTTGGACCGAAGGGTCTGTTTCCATGTTGCGTATCTCTATGACTTTATGAGATCCAGTGATGATGTCAACTAGAAATTTGGAAATGGAGGCTTGTCATTACAGGGCTATGAGGTGTCTATCTGTGAATCAAACATCCTGTTTTTATGTACTGGAGTGGGGAAATATTTCCTGCAAACCAAGGCAGTTCCAGGACTCACTGTTTCGGACACAGGGCTTTCACTATTAGTTTCAGTTTCTCTGAAGTGCTTGCTGAGGGGAGTTGGCAGTCAGCTGGGAGCAGGTTGGAAGTATTCAGCACTAACTGAACCAGAAGGTCAAAACAGTCAGGGGCTTGCATTCACCTGCATCTTGCTTTCAGCCCAGCCAATTTGCCCCCACTTCGAGTGCAAGTATGTTCACGCCGCCTCTCTGTCTCTATATCTCTGTCTCTGTCTGTCTGTTTGCCACCGTTAGCTGCAGGGCAAGGTCTTAAAGGTGCGGTAAGTACAAGCTCCTGGGAGCGTGGTGGGTGGGATGGGGATGCACTGGGTTTGTGTAAGTCTCCTATCAGCACTCTTTCAAGGACAGAGAGAGAGAGGCTGCAGATTCTCAGCAACCTGGGGATGCACGTGTGCTGTTCTCTCTCTCCACCTCTCCCTCTCTCTCTGTGTGTCCCTGGCTTGCTCTCTCTTGCCCCCCCCCCCCCCTCTATTGCTCTCTGTCACTCTTTCACTCTTGTTCTCTCTTCTCTGCCTGTCCATCTCTGCCACTCTCACTCACTCCCTTCCCCTCTCCCTCTTTCTCTCTCCCCTCTCTGTCTTGTATTCTTTCTCTCTCTTTATTTCTGTCTGTCTCTCTCTCTGACACTCTGTCTGTCTCTCTCTTTCTTTCTCACTCTCCCTCTCTCTCTCTTTGTCTCTCTCTGTCCATTTCGCATTGTTTCTGTTTTGCTGTCTGAGTCTGAGCTCTTTCCCTCTCTATCCCTGACTCACTCTGTCTCTCTATCTCTGTCTCCGTCTGTGTCTCTCTTTCTCTCTGTGTCTCTCTCTCTGTCTCTGTCTCTCTGTCTCTCTCTCTCTGTCTCTCCCCCTCTCCCCCTCTCTCTCTGTGTTCCACCATAGCAGCTGGAGGAATTTAAATTCAATTAACAAAGTTGGAGCTATAAAACTCCTCTCAGCAATGGTGACAGTAAGAAAGATCATTGATTATTGGAAAAGCCCCTCTGGTTCAGTAATGTGCAGCAGGGAACGGAAATCTGCGAACCCTTACCTGGTCAGGGCCTACACGTGACTCCAGGCCCACAGCAATGTGGCCAATTCTTCACTGTTTCTCTTCCTTCACTCTTTACATTTTCTGTCCCTAACTCCCTCTTCACCCCCTTTTAACTTACCCTCCACCTTCCCTCTCTCTCTCTTTCCCAACCTTTCCCCTTCTCCCTCTCTCTTTCCCATTCTCTCCCCTTCTCCCTTCCTCTCTTTCCCAACCCCTCTCCTTCTCCTTTTCTCTCTCTTTCCCATTCTCTCCCCTTCTCCCTCCCTCTCTCTCGCTCTTTCCTGACCTCTCCCCTGCTCCCTCTCTCCCCCTTTCCTATTCTCTTCCCTTTTCCCTCCCTCCCCTATCTCTCTTTCCCATTCCCTCCCTGCCTCTCTTTCCCAACCGCTCCCCTTCTCCTTTTCTCTCTCTTTCCCATTCCCTCCATTCGTTCCTCCCTCTCTTTCTCTTTCCCATCCTCTCCACTTCTGTCTCTCTCTCTATCTTTCCCATTCCCTCCTCCTCTCTCTCTTTCTTTCCCAACCTTTCCCCTTCTCCCTCTCTCTTTCCCAAACTTTACCATTCTCCCTCTCTCTTTCCCATTCTCTCCCCTTCTCCCTTCCTCTCTCTCTTTCCCAATGCATCCCCTTCTCCTTTTCTCTCTTTTTCCCATTCTCTCCCCTTCTCCCTCCCTCTATCTCTCTTTCCCAACCCCTCCCCTTCTCCTTTTCTCTCTCTTTCCCATTCCCTGCACTTCTCCCTCCCTCTCTTTCTCTTTCCCATCCTCTCCACTTCTCTCTCTCACTCTCTCTCCCTATCTTTCCTATTCCCCATCCCTATCTTTCTCTCTCTCTTTCCCATTCCGTCCCTATGTAGACATTCCCGGAGGAACTTCTCCCAAAGCCGGGGATTTTCACGCTGACCAGAGCTTTGTGTCATTGACAGGGAGTAGCCGGTGGGAACGATCCGATTGGATGGGAAGAAATGGGGAGACTGACCCGAGGTGATTGGATGAGTTCCCAACTTCTGGCCGACCCATGGATATAAAGGGAGCGAGGACAATTGGGATCATCAACATGGTGCTCCTCATGACCAGTAGGTTACCTCTCCGGGTGTTGTGGGGGGGTACGGGAGACAGGCAAAATTCTGAGGGAGTGGACACTGACGGGATGTTACCCCTTGTTGGGGAGTCACGGAATGTGGGGTGGCGCGGGGGCTCAGTGGTTAGCACTGCTGCCTCATGGTCTCAGGGACCCGGGTTCGATCCCACCCTCGGGTGACTGCCTGTGTGTGGAGTTTGCACATTCTCCCCGTGTCTGTGTGGGTCCCCTCTGGGTGCTCCGGTTTCCTCCCACAGTTCAGGGATGTGCAGGTTAGGGTGGATTGGCCATGCTAAATGACCCATAGTGCCCAGGGGATGTGTGGGTTAGGGTGGATTGGCCATGCTAAATTACCCATAGTGCCCAGGGGATGTGTGGGTTAGCACGGAAAATGTTACAGGAATAGGGTAGGGAATGGGTTTGAGTAGGATGCCCTTCAGAGGGTCGGTGTGAACTCAATGGGCTGAATGGCCTGCTTCCACACTGTAGGGATTCTATAGTTCAGTCTCAACATGAGGGGGTCTCCCATTCCTGACAAAAATAAGAGGAATTTCTTCTCAAGGAGAAGAATGAAAGAATTGTGGATGCTGTAAATCAGAAAAAGAAGCAGAAGTTGCTGGTCTGGCAGCATCTGTGAAGGGAAAAACAGAGTTAACGTTTCGGATCTGGTGACCCTTCCTCAGACCTGATGGTAGCCGGGAGGATGGAGAGGGGTTAAGGAGTAAATGATAGGTGGAGATAGAGCCAAAAGAGATAGCAGAACAGTTGGACAGACAAAGGAGTTGCTAACAATCAGGCTGGGAGGGTGAATAGTTGTTAATGGGGACTGTTAGTGACTAACAACAGGGGGTGTGTAGTGGCAGGCTATGTGGTAACAAGGCCTGGTGTGTGGGGTTGGGAGGCTGGGACATGGGAGAGTTTAGGCCCTAAAATTATTGAACTCGGTATTGAGTCCGGAGGGCTGTAGGGTCCTCAAGCGGAAAATGAGGTGTTGTTCCTCCAGCTTGTGTTGGGCTTCACTGGAACACTGTAGGAAGCCAGAGACAGAGATGTTGGCCAGGGAGCAGGGTGGTGTATTAAAGTGGCAGGCAACGGGAAGCTCAGGGTCTTTTTTGCAAGCAGAATGTAGATGTTCTGCGAAGTGGTCGCCAAGTCTACGCTTCATTTCCCCAATGTAGAGGAGACCACATTGTGAGCAGCGAATGCAGTAGACTAGATTCTGGGAAGTGCAGGTGAAATGTTCCTTCACCTGGAAGGTATGTTTGGGCCCGCGGATACTGGGGATGGAGGAGGTAAATGGGCAGGTGTTACACCTTCGCTGGTTACAGGGGAAGATGCCGTGGGGCTGTGGGGTGTGTTGGGGGTGAAGGAAGAGTGGGCCAGGGTGTCCCAGAGGGAATGGTCCCTGCAGAAGGTGGACAAGGGAGGGGAGGGGAATATGTGTCTGGTGATGGCATCTCACTGGAGTTGGCGGAAATGGAAATTTTTCTCTCGAGGGGAGGACAGTAACATAGAAATTGGACTCATTGAGCCTGCTCCACATGCTCAGTAACCCATTCCTGCTTTCTTCCCCATATCTTTCGATCCCTTTGGCTCTAATAGCTATCTCTAACTCCTTCTCAAAAATATTCAATGTTCTGGAAAGTGGTAGAGAGTTCCACAGGCTGCCCACTCTCTGGGTGAAGATGTTTACCTCACTTCCTGGCCTTGAGACTCAAATGAAGTTATCACGGTCTCTGGGCCTTATCACGGTTTCCAGGCCTCATCGCAGACTCCAGGCCTCATTGCGGTCTTCTGGCTATATCACGGCCTCCAGGCCTCATCGCAGACTCCAGGCCTCATTGCGGTCTCCTGGCTATATCGCGGCCTCCAGGCCTCATCGCGGACTCCAGGCCTCATCACGGCCTCCAGGCCTCATCACGGCCTCCAGGCCTCATCACGATCTCCAGGCCTCATCACGGCCTCCAGGCCTCATCATGGACTCCAGGCCTCATCACGTGGTCTGGAAGAGACGGCCAGTGCGGTCTGGAGGAGTGGGCCCGGTGTGATTTGCGTTAGAAGGAGGGGCGGTACGGTGGCTCAGTGGTTAGCACTGCTGCCTCACAGCACCAGGGACCCGGGTTCGATTCCAGCCTCGATCAACCATCTGTGTGGAGTTTGGACATTCTCCCCGTGTCTGCGTGGGTTTCCTCCCACAGTCCAAAGATGTGCCGGTTAGGGTGGGTTGTCCGTGCTAAATAGTCCCGTAGTGTTCAGGGATGTTTAAGTTAGGTGGGTTAGACATGAAAATCAAGGGTAGGGGGATGGGTCTGGGTGGGATACTCTTCAGAGGGTCAGTGTGGTCTTGTTGGGCTGTATGGCCTGTTTCCACACTGTAGGGATTCTATGAATGCTATTCTGACCTTTTATTTCTTTTTCTTTCTGATTAATCACTATGATTTTGTACCTTTGTACCTACACAAGGGTCTGCAATGTTGAATTTTTCAATTCTATATTTTTTGAATTGTTTCCGAAGAACTTTTGCTCAAGAATCTGTACCTTTGTAGCTAAGAGGGTGACGTGAGAGGTGACTTGTAAACTTTTCACTGTGCTCTTGTGACAATGAAACTTATTCTAATTCTAATTTCTCCTCAGCTCAGTCCTACCCCATTTCCTTTAGACTGTGAGGCCCCCCCTCCTCCCTGGTGCTAGGCTCTCCCTGGTCATAAGGAACATCCTTCCTGTGTTGACCATGTCTAGTAGTCTCCACATTTCACTTCCATCAGCAAGCAGACCAGGTTGGGACATTGAATATACTCAAGGCTGTTTTAGAAACGATTCTTCAGTAGCAAAGGAAGTCAAAGTTTCAAGGGGGAAGGGGAGAAGCAGAGAGATGGAGTTGAGGCTGCAATCAGTTGGGGCAAGATTGAGTGACAGAGCTGCCTCAATAGACAGATTGGCCTGTGGTCACTAATAATTCCAGAGATGCCAATTCCCAAATGGTTCATGAGACTCCCAATTGTCCGAACTGTGTAACCCGTGCGTGGTCATGGGCAAAAATTCCAAAGGGGACTCTGAGTGAGACATGGAGAAGCTCAAAGACGTTGAGGCAGAAGAGAATTTCCACGAGGTCCTGCCACCATCTCACACACATCAGGGACACTCCCTTACTTCCTGTCGTGTGCACAGCAATGTTATAAGGTCACTGTTTTCACTGAGGGAGCGTTGCAATGCCGGAGGGTCAGTGCTGAGGGAGCGCCACACTGTCGGAGGGTCAGTGCTGAGGGAACGCCGCACTGTCGGAGGGTCAGCGCTGAGGGAGCGCCGCGCTGTCAGAGGGTCAGTGCTGAGGGAGCGCC